ACTACAAGCAAGAGAAAATGAGGTAAGAGAAGGAATCCCTGGTACTGAGTTCTTAACCCATCATATCAGCCCTTCGTTYTATTTTTAGAAAAAGAGCTATTTTTAGAAATGGAACATRATTGGTCAGATCGTCASATCCKTTCGTGTTGAATCTACAAATGTAAATTATGCGTTTTATAAATTATCTATTCCAGGTTAAATATTACTGCTCGAGAGTTCAGAGAATTCAAAGGTCAGATTGTCGATCTAATTTCATGTCACATTACCTTCAGAAGCTGATTCTTCTTCGACACTTTCAAGTTTTCTTTGTTTTGAAGAARATTCCTTTTCTTCTTCAAGAAGTTTCCTTTTAAAAGCGAATTTTGTAGCTTTAATTTTCTCGAACAGTATTTGACATTCAGTTTTTGGCGATGAAAAATAGCCGATATCAAATTCCGATAAACGAGTAGTGGTCGCGCGGGCTTGGTAACAAACTAAAAATAGCTATTTTTCTAAAAATAGAACGAAGGGCTGATATGATGGGTTAAGAACTCAGTACCAGGGATTCCTTCTCTTACCTCATTTTCTCTTGCTACAAGTTGTTCGATGATTTAGCATTTTTTCTTAGATATAGTACTTCTCGTGAGGGCTATAATGGTTTTCTATCTTAGATATATACAATTCTACTATCCAACTATAAATTGTCAATTTTCAGAACTTGTCGATGGAGATGCGCCGCCACTGAAGAAAGTTAAATATTCTAAAAGCCGACGAGCAGTTCAAAGGATGCAGACGAACGAAAATAAAGAAAATGGTACGGTTTCCATGAAACTTTATATTAATACTACGATCATTACTTGGCCACAGTGCAAGAATACAAACACTAAAACCAAAACCATGAAAACATTAAGTAATAAGATAGTGCTAGGGGCCTAATAATTAATTTTGCAATTGATATTGCACTCAATATTTTAATACTATCATTCCAAAGGAAACAAAAACTACTTCTTTGTTATCACTTTGATATGCTCTATCAATGGAAGAACTACTAGTGACCGATTAGAACAGACTGCCAATTTTGAAGTTATCGGTTTTTTTCAGTGTATGGAAAAATCTAAACCATATTCCTGTCGCTGCTGACATTTTAATGATCCTCTTTGCGCACATGCAATATAAAAGGCCTCTTCTTGCACGGGACGCATACATTTGCATAACTTTATACTTAATTATTAATTCAAATGCAGAAGCTTCAGGAGGGACGAGCACAAGGAAAAGAAAAAGACGTGATGTTGGTATGGATTATCCAGAGTCATGTTACGAGGAGGTGTTGAACAATGCAACTGCCAAGTTCCAAAATTTAAAAATATCAAACAGACAAAATACAGAGAGGACCATGTATGATTAATGAACCTTCTATAGGAACACGAGAGCCTTCTATATGTACATCAGAGCCATGTGCATGGACATCCATATATGGAGGTCGTATGACAGACTCTACTCAGTGGAAAAGAGGAGACAGGGTGGTCAAATAAAGAAAAATAATAACAAGAGAGTATTCGTCGCGATAAAGATGAAAGCGACAATACTTGTCCCATACTTTGACAATCAGTTTATACATAGCTTTTTATTGCTCTCTACTGCTATAGAGTCGTCCCCATGCAGTTTTTGTTGTGCTGTGGACAGAGTAAAATAGACGAAAATTGGGCAGCTCTCAATCAACTACTACGATTAACAACTTAAGATTTGTTTTTGGTTTTACTATAAAATTCTACCATGGTTAAAATAATAAAGATATATTGTAAACAAAGGATGTGCTAAGATTAAATATAAAACAATTATTTTTCATTAACTGTATGACATTGTAAATTGGTATCACAATCAGTGCCTAGATTTAATGTATCAAAAATGGTGTTCAGTATATTCAACGTTTCCATTTATCTTGTTATCTCTAATGGATATTATTCCATCCAGATTGTCTGGTGTTGGAGTTCTCAATTCCGTCCCATGTTCACCATTATCTTTGCTGTTCTTTGACAAATGCTTTTCGTCACTTTGGTTGCCATCATTTTCTTGTAAACCATCTCGACTGTTTAAGCTAGGGCTGTTGGGTATTCCCAATAGAATATGCCTAAGGAATCCTTTACGATTGTAGATCAACGTTGGGTTTCTGATCACTGTGACTGCGATAAACCATTTGTTTAGMGCAGACGCTGATACACGAGGACGAGAAGGATTAGACTCTTTAAGTTCTGAAAAAAGTAAAAWGTGATCGTTAAATCAATCAGTTATGAGTCGACATGAGGAAAGAGTGGAAAGGTAACCGAATCTTATGAATGTTTGTTTTCCAGTGCGGGCTTTGTGGGAGATCAATAACTCCTAATTCACTATTTACCCAGACCACTAACCTGCCCATCCATTGATTGCCGAATTTTTGTTCGCTCCACTGACATCCACTAAAAAGAAATTGAGAATATAGACCGCTTATCATACAATAACAAATCAACCCAACCAAACATTCCACTAGCAAATCAACCAACATAATGTCTACTTGAAAGAAAAAACAGAAACAAACTACCAATCCCACAATAACAAGTTAACCGACCAACATTCCACTAAAGGCCGATTTAGACGACACAACTTTTGCTTACAACCATCGCATGCAACCTGCGTAAGTCATCCTTACAACATAGCTCTAACTGTCGTAGGGATTTAAAACAATTGCTTTTAACTCTTTC